GCCACACGTTGATGCTGGAGCACAGGATGCTCTCCACTGCACACCTGTAGAAGGAGGTGAGGACTGAGCTTCCAGACCAGCTCGTCTCAGCCGCCTGAGGAAGTAGAGTCTCTGATGAGCTTTCTTCATCAGGCTGGTGGTGTTGTTGCTCCAGCTGAGGTTGTTGTTCAGGTGCACACCCAAGTACTTGTAGCTGGATACCACTTCCACCACAGATCCTCTTATGTTCAGGTGGTGGGGAGTGGGTGTGTTTTCTCCGTCTGAAATTCATGACCATCTCCTTCGTCGTCTTCACATTGATGTGAAGGTTGTTCTTCCTGCATCAATCTCTCCAGGTGTTCCACCTCCTGCATGTAGCTGGACTCATCATTGTTTGTGATGCATCCCACCACCTCTGTATTGTCTTCAAACTTTACAATGTGACAGCCTGGATGGGTAGGTACACAGTCATATGTGAGCAGAGTGAACAGTAGAGGGCTCAGCACACATCCCTGAGGGGAGCCAGTGCTGAGGGTTATGGTGGAGGAGAAAAAGTTGTGGATCCTCACAGACTGCGGTCTGTTGGTTAGGAAATCAAGGACCCAGTTTCATAGGGAGGGGCTTAGTCCTAGTGTGAGTATTTTGTCCATCAGGGTCTGGGGGATCATGGTGTTGAAGGTGGATGTGAAGTCCACAAAGATCATACAGATGTAGGAGTCCTTCTGCTCCAGGTGGGTGAGAGCAGTGTGGACCACAGAGGAGATGGTGTCCTCTGTTCATCAATTCTTGTGGTATGTGTACTGGTGTGGGTCCTGGCTGATGTTGATTCAGCCATCGTTTCGCTCTCAGCATTAAAACAGCTTTTTCACGGAAAATTATGTTTCTGTGATTTCTTCTTTCTGTCTTTCTCAGATGTTTTTCTCTCTTGAATGTTGTGTTGTTTACATGTTGTTTACTCATTGTTGACATGTTGTTTGCCTGTGTAGGGACACATCAAGGATTTTCTACCATCAACTTTTATTCTTTTGATACTTTGAAAGTAAGACTGACTCTCATTCCAAAGCTGGACAGTAAGGTACCATGTTACAAAAGAAAGAAAGAAAATGAATAACAAAAATCTGTTGTTGTAATTAATTGCACACCTGGTATTATGAGTTCAGCAAAGCTGAAAGGCCCTTTGTATGAGAACCTTTCCATCTGACCTTTGAAATATAACATCTAAAGCGTTTGCTTATCTCTTCCTGAAAGGGAGGATTCATCCTAAAGTCTTAGTGTGAGAAAGACCCCATTGTTCTCAAGGACTCTTTTTGCCATCCCACGGTAGAAATCATTTTTCTGAACGTGAATGTTTTGATGTGAAACTGGTATTCAGAGGTTTCAACTGTGTTTGCATAAGTCTAATGAAAATGTTTATGGATGAGTAAAAACTGCTTAGAAGTTTTGATTATCCTGTTATATTGAGAATTTACCAAAGCAGAGTAAATTAGCCATTTATTTTTTTATTAAGGTTATTAAAGTTCAAACAGTAACTTGAAACAAAGGTCCACCCTTCTGTTGTGATTGGCTCAACCATCAATGTTGTAACGCCCTCTAAGTCAAAGAAATTGATTCTGACATTTGGCTTAGAGCAGTCTGGAAGAAGCTTTGAAGAAGGAAGGTCAAACAATTGGAAACTATTGCCAGAAGACCCTTGTCAACAGAAGGAGAAAACGCAGCCCTCCGGGAGCTCATCAACTGACCCCATCGGGAGCCTAACTGTCGACTCTATATTTCAGCTGATGTCCAGTGTCGAGGGAAATCCCACCTTTGATGCTTTAACTCATCTCAACAGAGTCCTGGTATCCCTCGGCGGTTGAATTATACTCTCCAATCGGTAGGAAAAGCTGCTCCTCTTTCTCTGCTGGTGTCTGATGTGTAAGGAACTCTCGTGAGGGTTTGGACCAAGATCACCACACAGACTGACGATAAATAATAAGTGTTTATTGTTTCTAGGAGGGAAGTGACAGCTGGTCTTGGTGCTGGTCTGGGTTCTGGTTCTGGTGTCGGTTAATGGCAGGAGCAGTCTAAGAAGCAGAGAACGGTTAGTGGTCGTGCTGATTACCAGAACGTGGAGAACAGTCAATAAGGAAAAACCACTAACCGTCTCAGATGATCTCAAGGGTCCTGAAGGGTGGACGTGTTCAGATCTGCAGCTGCTGGAAGGGCTGAGTCCGGTGAAGGACGACAGTCGGCCGCAGCTGTCTGCGTGTCCAGAGTCCGTGATCCAAAAGGGGTGGTCAGGCTTTCCAAGGTCCAGTAACGTGAAGCAGATGTCAGGCAGTACCAGAGGAGCAGGCAGATCGGTGGTTGTGCTGGCGTGGGTCGGTACCAAGAGCAGATGCAGATACAAATCCAAAAGGGCAATCCAAAGAGACGTGGTCGAGGCAGGCAGAGAGTCAAGGAACCAAGAGATCAGGCCAAACAAGAAGGGGAGGACAACCAGAAAGAGGGACAGGTAGCGTGGTGGGCAAGACAAGGAGCGAGGACTTGAACAGGGACAAGAGAGGGGAACAAGGACTACAGGCATGAACGCGAGATATCTAATAACTACTAAGAGTGTTCAACTATCGGGCACCGAAGAGTTGACAGGTTGCTGCTTATAAAGGGTGGAGAGAACAGGTGCAGCCAGTCAGAGATAATCAGGCCAGCTGGCTGCAGTGCAGACAATTAGTGCAGTCAGCCTTCACCAACATGCAGAGTGGACAGACTGGTTCTCCACATACACACACACACATGAGAACCAGGTAGAAGAAGATAAGGAGTGAGGATGAAAAGAACAGAACAGAACTGAGAAACCAGAGCTAGTGAACAGAGTGATAAAGATCTAAATACAGGGACGTGATTCATGACACTGATGCCTAAGATAAGAAGTTGTCCAGTCTAACAAAATTCATCATTACTAATTAGAATTAAGTTCTAAATTGACAAATCACATCTAGCCAAAACACTTCATTTAGCTAACTTTATAGATGATAATTTACTCTGCTTTTAAACCTCATAATTCACTATATTAAAGTTAGAAGATAATTATCTAACCTCATCCTGTGTTGTCAAATTAAAGCCATCATTCATTTCTTCAGCTGTACTCATGATTTGATTTTGACCACTTATATTCACCAAAATCGATAATAAACCTCACAAAATTGTACTTTGACTCAAAGCATTTTTATTATATATGACATTTGAATTTAATACGAAAAGAACTCACTAAAAAGTAAAACTTGTGTCTGATTTAATAATTTCTTGCTTCAGAACCGGAAAGCAAGTGGTGCCCCTTCAGAATAAAATTACTAATAAAAATTCAACGATCTGAGAACCCTTTCCTCTACACCTGTCGTCTCTGTTTTCTTGTCTTGTTGTTGACCCAGTTTGAGACGGTGGACTCCACCCTTCCATCTGCTAGCCAGGCTGGTCTGACACTGGAACCAGTGGCCTATCACTCCCCAAACCAGCGTTACCTCTATATCGACACACCGATGTTTGGCCGCAGCCTCTTGGTGGGGAAATATGCCAACATCCACGTGTACTCAGCCACGCCCTCCTACCTGCGCATCAAATACCTCAACTACCTGGTGAGAAGATGATGGTGGGTGTTATTATTCATCCGGTTTCCATGGGTCCTGATGCATCATTTCTGGTCTCCCTCAGGTGCTCTCCAAAGGGAAGGTGGTGTATTTCAAAAGTGTGGACTTTGTCTCCAGCGCTGATGACAAACAGACGCTGAACTTCCTGGTGATGACCTCCATGGTGCCATCCATCCGGCTGCTGGTCTACTACGTCCTGCATGGAGAGGGAACCACCGAGCTGGTGGCCGACTCTGTCTGGATGGATGTCAAAGACAACTGTGTTAACGGACTCCAGGTGCAACAATGACTTTAATCAAATCCCATGAATAACGAAAAGGGCAGAAATAGTTTATTCGTTTTACAGATACACAACTCACATAATGTACTGCCCAACCAGCACTGACAAGTGGTAAATTATGATGATTTGAACTGTAGGATGTTTTCAGCTCCACTGTTAACTCTGGCTGAACTTCCTGTTTTTGTGAAAATCTGTTAAATATTTGTGGTGTTTCTGCTTCAGGTTGGTGTCTCTGTTGGACAACAACAAACCTTCAGACCAAAGAAAAATATTAACCTGGATGTCAGAACCAATCAGGACGGCCTGGTAGCCCTGTCTGCAGTTGACTCTGCCCTTTTCACCCTCCGGCCCAACTACAGAGACCCTGTTACTATGGTAACCTTTTAAAACCTGACAAGGCCCTTTTGTCTTGTTGTTAGCTGTGAGTTGTGTTTTGAACCAGGATGTACGGTGGCCCACAGGTCCTGCGTCACATCGAGCACAGCGATCAGGGCTGTGGAGGAGGGGGGGGCAAAGACAATGCAGACGTCTTCCGATTGGCTGGCCTCACCTTCATGACCAACACCAATGCCAATCCTTCATCCAACAGTACATCAATCAATCAATCAATCAATCAATCAATCAATCAATCAATCAATCAATCAATCAATCAATCCAATCATTCAATTAATCAATCAATCAATCCAATCAATCAATCAATCAATCAATCAGCCAACAAGTAATCCATTGTTTACAGTTTTGTAGTGTTTACTGTGTTGTTTTGTTTATGTGCATTTGTTTGTTTACCATGTGTTCTTTGGTTTATGTGCATTTGTTAGTTTGTTTATTGTATGGTGTTTTGTTTGTGTGTTGTTTGTATGTGCATTTGTTTGTTTATTTGTTTACTGTGTTGTTTTGTGTATGTGCACTTGTTTGTTTACTGTGGGTAGTTTTGTTTACATGTGTTTGTTTGTTTAATGTGTGCTGTTTTGTATATTTGTGTTAGTTTATTTGTTGACTGTGTGTAGTTTTGTTTACAACTCTTTGTTTGTTTGTTTGTTTACAATGTTTTTTTACTGTGTGTAGTTTTGTTTGTGTGTGTTAGCTTTATTTATTTTATTTACTGTGTTATTTTGTTTACATGTGTTTGGTTGTTTACTGTGTGTTGATTTGTTTACTGTGTGTTGTTTTGTTTACTGTATTGTTTTATATACTTTTGTTTGTTTACTGTGTGTAGTTTTGTTAGTGTGTGATTGTTTTTTGTTTAGTGTGTGCTGTTTTGTTTTTGTGTTTGTTTGTTTGTTTGTTTGTTTAGTGTGTGTTGTTCTGTTTACTGTATTGCTTTGTTCACAGTTTGATTGTTTATTGAGTGTTGTTTTATTTTACTGTATTGTTTTGTTTACAGTTTGTTTATTTGTTTACTGTGTATTGTTTTGT